ACTCTCCACTGCGAAGATGGGCAGTTGCATTGTGGCTTCAGATCAACGTCCCACATTGTCGGATCTCCCCATTCGGACGTCTGAAAAAGACATTCTATGTAGGTCTGGAACATTTCCTGCGCGTATCAAGCCAAGATGCGTTGGCGTTCCTCTTGTTCTTGAGCAATTCTCTCGCGCTCGATGTCTTCTACAAAATCTGGTGGCGGAGGAAAGTGTTCAAGGTCAATATCCCAATTGACTTCACCATTGACTTCGGGATCAGGTGGTGCATCAGGTGTGAGTAAGGGTACCGGCCTCGCGGTTCGTGCCTGCACAGCTGCTGCCATGCGAGCAAAGTGCTTCCTTTGCGCTTCGCTTTTGGGAGCCTTTGTCCAGTATGGCTTCTGTGCGTTGAAGGATTGGTGGACTCAGGTGAATTTTGGCATTTCTAGTTACGGAGCATTGGTTTGGGTAAGATTGAAAATGAGTCAGTCTGCTGTTTTGAGGATAGTAAGCATTGTTCATGCTTAAGAGGAAGAGGAAACAAGAATTGAAAATAACGTACCTGGTTTTGAAGTTTGATACTGTGATAAAAGAACGAAATAAGCAGATGTATAAAAGTACTCGCCAGTGTTGACCAATTTGTGTTTGACTTAGATGAGATAGTTAGTGAGTCAAAATCAAATATGCAGGAGAGTTTGAAAGTATACAGTTTTGAATGAATGTTGAACCAATCGGATTTGGCGAAGATTGTGATGAAAGAACTCTTGAGGAAGTAGTTTGATGGAGAGATTTCAACCTGTAGATTTGGGCTAAGTAAACATAATTAATTTTCCTTTACAAAGTATGAACTTATACAGGTATGGTATCTCAATGTACGGAATATGTAGAAATACCATACCTATTGATACAGAAGCTCATTGTATATGTGTTTCAAATATTATTGGTCAGTACGCTTACACGGATTAACCTTCTGAACTCAATATGCAGGTGGCCACTGGCAGGTAGTAGATGTGGAGCTTATACGACACACATATGTAACATAAGTAATAGCTATTCAGAATCAGAAATAAGACATAGTTCCACCGGGGCACGGCGGCCATACAACAATGGCTTTTCTACAGCAAGGATAGGTATTATACAATCTTTGAACATACGGAATTGAGGTACATACTTGTGGAACCACTCCTTTGCCTCTGGCAGTGCGAGATTGTGCCACTCGCACCAAGGCTCTGGAATTGGAGGTGGGGTGGTTATAGTAAGCGAAAGGAAATGAACACGCTTCTTATCAAACAGAAGAAAGATAGGCAGATTATTGGTAAGGGGGCAATCCAGAGGTAAAGCAGAAAAACTAATATCTTCACCATAGACGCAAAATGGTCTTTTGTAAGCTGTGGCAATGATATACAACATTTGAGCGGAATCAAGCCAAAGAGCCGGGGTGTCCAGCACATCTTCTCTGAGTGTTTGGATGGATTTTATGTGGTCGGATACATCTCCATCGCCTCTGTTCCGCTCTTTGAAGTGTCTATTGTAGAAGTTGTGTTTTAGTTGAAGTTCAGCGGTGAGTTCTTGGCGAACCGAAAGCCAATCGTCCTCAGATCGCCCCAAACTGTTGGCAATCGCTTGATATCCACAATGCCCATCGGGTATTGGGTCATGAACAGAATGGACATACTGGCGTAGCCAGGTTGGAAGACATGAGTCCTGAATGAAAAGAAGCGGGAATTAGATGTGTAAGCAATTGTACAAATGGGACAAATTGGGACGTACACACTTTTAGCTTGGAGGAACGTGTAGAGCGACGAGGAGCAATGACTGAGTCCGTCTCGGTCTTATTATGCCTGGTTGATCTCCGAACAGGGTTGAATTCAGTGTGTTTCTCTGGATTGGGTTCAATCATACGCCTTGCTCTCTTTTTATTGCCCTACAAAGACAACCTCAGTCATAACGCCTTTCAAGACACTGTCTTTACCCAGTTCATCAAAGACAGACTTACACAAGGCAGCGAAGGAAGTGATGATGATGTTACACTGAGGTTTGCACTTGGTTCTTCCAGAGCGGTGGTGTCGGCAACAATAGTTGTCGTCCCTTCGATTTCCTTTGTGGGGCTGGTAAGGGGTGGAAGTAAGGCTTTGAAATCGAAGCTTTCGTCGTCATCTTGCTCAACAAAAGGTTTTGAGAGCAAGGGGAGGGTGGACTAGATCACAAACACAAAAGGGAAAATGTCCAAAACTTATCTCTATTGAAGAAAGACCATAAGGCGAAAAGTGCGT